TCATGAAAAGTTGCCACATTCTTCCAATAAATTAAGGACAGGGAAATAACCTTTGGATTTGGCAACTGGAAAGTCATGTTTTCAGTTGAGTGGTAAAGAAAGAACAGAGGCATTAAATAATTGGAAAACGGGGTATAGATTAGCACCCTCTTATCCAAAAGGGATACATTCCAAAACCTCCTCTTGAGTCAGTCAACTCGACAGCAGATAAAGGTGGCACCACAAATCAATGAGAAAATAAGCTTTTGATCAACAGTTGGGTACTGAGAAAACTACATAGAAAGAAATAGAGCCAGATTACATAGATCAATTAACAGCCTAAATATGAAAGGTAAAACCATAAAGCTGGTAACAGAAATTGTAAAAAAATATTTTATCTTGTGATCTAGAAAGATAAAACAATATAAGCACATAAAATAAATCATTTATTCATTCATTTAACAGATATTTATGGAACATCTACTATATGACAGACACTAAGAAGGTAGTCTCTGCCATTGTAGGGATTACAGTCTTGTGACTGCTGATTAAAACAATAACAGTAGAAGTAACAAACCAGAAGGGATATGAATACATTAACAGTTGGCCAAGATCAGAACCTTGGGGAGAAAGCACCATTTAAAAGTCACAAGAAAAAAAAAAAAAAATGTTGAGAAAGAGAAAGGTATACTAAGGAAAATCACAGAAGAAAAAGGAGTGGAGAAAACAAAGGCTTTCAAACATACTTGTGGATCTGAATAAATTGTGGAGCTTTAAAAAATAATGTCAGGGGACTCTCAATAAAGATACAAAGTTCCACAAAAGATTCTGCTGTACATCAAAAAATAGCTGGCACATTTCAAGGAGGACAAGATTGGCAATATCATGAAAAGTTGCCACATTCTTCCAATAAATTAAGGACAGGGAAATAACCTTTGGATTTGGCAACTGGAAAGTCATGTTTTCAGTTGAGTGGTAGAGAAAGAACAGAGGCATTAAATAATTGGAAAACGGGGTATAGATTAGCACCCTCTTATCCAAAAGGGATACATTCCAAAACCTCCTCTGAATACCTGAAACCGTAGATATTACTGAACCCCATATATACTATGATTTTTTTCCTTGCATACCTATGATAGTTTAATTTATAAATTGGGCACAGTATGAGATTAACAACAACAATAATAAAATAGATCAACTGTAAAAAACATACTGCAACAAAAGTTATATGAATGTGGTCTCCCTCCCTCCTCTCTCTCAGTACTGTAATATTTTCAGCCACAATTAACAGCAGGTAACTGAAACAGCAGAAAGTGAAACCAAAGATAAGGGGAGTACTTTAAGTAGGGGAGACAAACCACAGACTATTCTCTTGAGGAATTTAAAGAGGAAAGAGAAAGCTGGCAGGTTAGAAGAATCTCAATCCCACTTCTATTCTCTGAGCTCCCACTGTAGATAGAGTATTTTCCTTGTTCCTGGACACTTAGAACTTCCTTTGGCGTGGGTGGTGAAGAATTATTTCAGCTTCTGTTGACTGAAATGTTTTTCTTCATTTTAAAAGACTTCTGCTAGGTATAAAATTCAAGATGGCCAGTTATTTCTTTCCAGCACTTTAAAGACATTATTTCTGCTGATGTGTGACTTGATGTTTAAAGGTATCCAAGTCAACTATTAGTCTTGTTTTTGCTTCTTTATATGTGTATCTTTCTCCTCCTTGCAACTTTTAGAATTTCTGTCTATAGTAATTTTTTTGTTCTATGATGATGTACTCTGGTGCAGTATTCTTTATGTTTATACTATTTGATTCATATTGCTTCCTGAATCTATGACTTGATCTCTCTCAAGTTTGGAGTATTGTGAATCATCTCTTCAAATATGCTTTTGCCCTATTTCCTTTTACTCTCCTTCTGGAACTACAAATACACTGTTAGTACTACTCACCATATCCAAAGTAACTCTTTGATGCTCCCATCTTTATGTCATAGCTTTAATCTGAAAAATACTCTCCAGATTAATTTACCAGTTGGCTAATTATCCCTTCAGTTGTGTCTAGTAATGCTGCTAAATTTATTCACTGACTTCTTAGTTTCATTTATATTTTTCCATTCTGAAATTTCCATTTTGTTCTTTATAGTTTTTAGTTTTCTTCAGACTCTCAACCTTGCTTTTAATTCCTTGAACATATTAATTATTATTATGGCAGACACATATTCCGATTTTCCTGTGCTGTTTTCTATTGTCCATTTTTTTTGTATTAGTTTTCACACACATCTTATTTTCTGGTATGACTGACCTGAGTACTAGACATTGTGTATGAAAAATGAAGGAAAGGTTCCCAGATAATATTATCTTCTAAGAGAGAATTAATGTTTGCTCTGGCAGACAGGTAGACTAGAGTCACTTCCAGTCTCAGGTCGCCTTAATCCAATACATTCTGAGATAATTCAGAAACTAGGAAGCCTGTCTTAACTTTCAGTTATCAGTTAATGCCACATTCTAACCATTTAGAAATTCAACTCAAAGTCTAAGATGTTTTACTAGGGCTCAAACTTTGTGCAAAAATTTTCTTAGTTCGTCAGCCACTCAGCAGTCAGTTCTGGAGACGCCTAAAAGACAAAATCCATCAAAAATAACAAGCTCATTCTCTGACTATCTATCTTTACTCAAAATTCCTCACTGCTTTAGGACCCCAGGATGTCCTCAACAAGTTGGTTTTATTTCTGTTTTTGAATCCAGCAAAACATCACGAGGCAGATGGTCTAAAACAACTTCATCTGCCATTACCCAGTGAAACTCATCACCATCGATCATCACAACAAATCATAAAAATTAAGTTTTTCAAGTCCCAAATAACCTATATCCTTCACCAAAGTCATATGAGTACTGTCCAATGTATTCCTTCAGAAGAGGTAGGAAAGGGTAACTTTTACTGCCTAAAGAGTGTTTTTGATTAATGCACCTGAAAATCAGCATCCTTTCATTCAGTCCAAAGCTAGTATGTGAATTTTGAAAAGCACTTTCGAAAATGAAGTTTGGTTAGCTTCCTGCTAATAACAAAGACCAAATGGAGGATAAGGGTCGAAATACTTTGTGAAAAAGAAAAACAGTGATGACAAGAGTGCAGAGGAAATGAAACACAAACTGCCTACAATGGAGAGTACTGAGACGGATGATAAATTCTTCTTGGAGGATTAAAAAAAAAATTAGAAAGGTATCACGTAAGTTTCATGGTGAGGCAGGGACTGAAAAATAGATGGCATTGTTGAAACTAAAAGTCTATGTACAGAACAATTAAATCCCCATGTCCTTTCCAGACCCAGCACATTCAGACAATTGCCTCCTCTCTGTGGGGGTACAGGAAATTTAGTCTATTGAGATCTTCAATGACTCAGGTTCAGAAAAAACTGTATGTCGCGGTAGAAAGGAGAGATAAGATTCAGAGCTATGAATAGCAAGATTAAGTAAAAAACATGTAAACTGATACCCACATCAACCAATCCTATTTCTCTAGACTTACTTTTAAAAAGCGAGTCATCATGCTTAAACCAAAAACAATCAGAATCCACTCCAAATCTGAAATAGAGAAATGTTCTGTGGGACAGAACTCCAAAAACAAACAAACAAAAATGAAGCTAACATGTGTGGTCATACAGAATATATTATTAAGACCATAACAAAGATGTTGAAGCATTTAGAAAATATTAAAGTATATAGAAAATAGGGGGAAAAAGGTAGCAATTGACAACACCAGGATAACAAAGAACTATAGACAGGAGGGCCTAGTGAATCACTGTAATATTTATAAAGTTATAAAAAATGTAAATACTGACTACCTACTATTTTTAATTTGTATTATAACTATGTTGAGGGATGAAAGAAAGGGCAATTCTAGGCAGGTGAACCGAAAGAGCGAACCCCTATCTCAGTGGGAAGGCATGCCATTTAGAAAAATGAAGAGAGAGAAGAAATGGACTAGATATACGTGTCTTTCATGGGGCAGGACTAGGAAGCAGACAGCTTTAAGCATTTTACTGCCATATGATTTTTTCTTTGATGAAAATTAAAGAGATAAAAGCAAGGAGTATGAATAAGCATTTTAAATTATATCCTGTTTTGACAATATGCATCATTTTAAAAAATATCCTCACTTAATATTTTAGATGCTCCATACATGCTCCCTTTTGGTTTATTCATCCATTCATGTAATAATTACTAGATGGACTATTCCAATGTGCCAGACACTGTATTATATACACTAACATAGAGTAACCTAAATGTGCTCTCTGCCCACAGGGTGGACGTATTTTAGTAAAATTTATAAAACACAGGGTACCTGTATTTTAGTCAGCCTGCAGTTACATGGTTTATGAGCAAGGTAACCACATACTTTACCATCATACACAGCAGGGCTTTAGGACTAAGTGACAGGTGCCAACAGATCTACAAGAGGAGTAAAATAGACTACGACAAGCAAACTGAGAAGTATAAGCACCTTACTTCTCGGCATCACAGAAGCATCCACATGGAAAGGTGCTAAGGGGCTAAGGGTCATCATGAGCACCCACAGCACTTCAACAAGATGTCCCGGAGCTACAGAGGAGAACGTACACCTCCAAATAGCTAACTCATTCACCGACACCCTAGTGGAGAAAGCTGCAATTCGTACTTTCTACATAAAAGTACCAAGTGAACAGAACAAAAATAATCCTGACTAGCTGAGGGGTTGATGTCCAACCTAAAGACAGGCTAATGTTGCCAGCAACCAAAAGATTATTTAAGCCATTACCTGTATAATCTTCTCTTTGTTTATATTCCCTTTCTTACATTCTGTTCCCGCTTTCTACCAAAATATTGGTCTCAATATCTAAAATAATAAGTATGCAAAACTATCTATATCTGTTGTAGCCTACCCCAGCTATATGCTTTGAAGTTAAAGGGTGATATTACTAGTAAACTTCCATAACTGGTCAATATATTTACAAGAAAAAGAATTAGAATTCCCAGTTGTTTCATATTAGTCCGACCAACTAAGTAAATTCCATCCCTGAGAAAATTCTGTAATCAAAACTTTACAGTACATTTACATCACAATTTGAATAACTTCCAACTCACTCACTCTGGAAAACAACAAAACTTCCAACACTAAGGTAGATTTTTGGCCCAATTTTTCATTCATAAGTAAAAAGTCCATTTATGATGGTCAAGTATTATATCTCAGTTTATATTTTAGAGTTAAGCAATAATGGTAGAAAATTTTTAAGAAGACTCTACTAAAGATAAAAATTAAAAGCTACTTAAAATAGTTTAATAGACTTTAAAATTACCACAAAAAGTAAAACTTCAGGTCATCTGTAGCCAAATTTTTCTGCCCCGCCCCCCCTAACATTTTCTACAGTTCGATGCTTAATGTTTTCTACTCCCTGAAAAGTCATTATCTTATTAGGCCATTATAACCTGAATTTTAAAGCTTAGAGGTTACTTCTCCTAGATGTTTAGATTTCCCCCAAAGAAAAATAAATAAATCAAGCCCTCTTATACTTGCCTATGTTAGGGATTAAGCAGCCACTAAACTTAGATAAAATTTTAAAACTAGTATAATTACTAGTTTTTAAATAAGCTAGGCATTTTTTTTAAAGATACTTTTTTGCTAGCCCATTCCCTCCTTCTCAAAAAAAAAAAACAAAAAAAACTAAGCTAAAAAGAAAAGCTAAGATTAGCAAACTTAGGGTAGAAATAGATTGTGACTGTATCAAGATTAAACTGAGCTGCTGAAAGAAGTTTATTCTACTGAAACAAAAGGTCATTATCCCTATATCAGCATTTATCATTTCAAACAGAACTTCCATACAAATACAGGATGGAGAAATAAAAAGCAACTATTCTAACAATATTATTTACAAATACTTTATTTCTTCTTACACTTTTCTAAGAAAAGCTTCTCATCAATGACCCTCATGTATCTGTCACAATCGTGCTGAGACAGCATCTACCTGACCAAATACAGGCAGCAAAACATGTTCATGAACACTCAGTTCACAGCCTTACAACTACACTTAATATTTTAAAACTATGTCTGAATTATAACATGTACAAACCTTCTTAATAAATAGTGCAAGTAAAGTGAGATGGCCTATTAAGATGATCTAAGAAACTCTAAGGTATCAACATTTTAGATACTATTTTTGGCATGTAAGTAAACAAATAATGTATAATCAAGGCTAGAAGCAAAGATACTACTATAGATTTATGTGAACCCAGGTATTCCTTAGCATCTTAATGTCCTGGAAAAACCAACAGCATAGCATATTACTTATTAGGATGCACCACAGCATATTAAAAAGTGAGGTAAATCCAGAAAAACAAAGGAAATCAAATTATGCAGTATTACGCACCAGAAGCAAAAAGGGAGAAAAATGTGAAAACTATAGCACTGAAGTATATTAAAAAAGTTAAAATTACAGGTTAGCAAAAACAGTTAACTTGTAGAAAATGAACAAAATAACCTGTTAGTTGCCTTAATACCATATGAAAGTTTAAGCTGTCATACACACAGGTTTGGAAAGTTACAAAATGAAGACATATTTTGAACTTAAAAAATAGCATGCATGTACAGTGACGTAAAAAGCATTCATCAGGAACATGAAATAATAAGCTATAATTCAACTGCCTTACCAAAAAAACACAAAATATTAGTTAACTTTCCTAAGGAGTAATAAAAATTAAGGACATATTATTCATAAATTGTTCCAAAGTTTTACAATCTGATGGAAAACATTATCAATGTCAACTGAGAACGATAAAGAATTCTGATAACAGTCATTAACACGTAAAGGAAACTGTTTCAAATTGAGAAGACAATGGATATTTACACATACATATGTCTCTTATTTTAGAATAAACAGATCAAAAAACATATCATTAAGGGATTTCTTAGTAAAAAAAGACAATGTGTTATTCTTAATTTATCAATATTTATTCATCACATCATTTAATATGCAAACTGAGAATTATTTGCAAATCTATACCAACCTCAAATAAAATGCCTCTTATTAAAAATATTAAGTGTCTATAATTCTATAAACAACATTGTCTAGTATATACAAATAAATCTGATCTGACCCACAAAAAGCCAGCTCTGGTTTCAAACTTGGTTACAATGCCTCCATAAATTTGCAGGGAAATATATACAAAATTATTTCCACCCCAACAATTCCTAAAGGCAGAAAGAAAGGATAAATTGATTCCAAGTAAGTGAAAGGTATAAATAGTGATCTACTGTTAAAAAACACATACAATAAATGAAAAAGAAAGAGGGATGGGAGGATACGGCAATCCCCAAGCTAGTTTATTAGACTAAAGGGTATATTAGAAACTTCTCTGTACTTATCTTTAAAGTACACAACTTAAACACAACCAATTCACTTTCCATAGCTATCATACACATCAAATAAGAACTGAATAAAGAAAGATCCTTACCTGAATAACAGCACTAAACCAACAAGTATTGCCAACATTCTTTAGCCCAACGGGAGCTTTGTCCTGTCTTTTTCTATCATAAGGGTTTCGAGAATCCCTCCAAACTTCTGTAGGTGTCCTCTTCAAACATGCTTTATTCTCTGCTATGCTGGCTTCAAGAACTCTTAAGCAATGGTGGAAAAAAATGCAGCATTATATAATGGTATATCCCAGCCATACTACACATTTTAAAAGTACTTTCATTACATAAGATTTGAATAATGTATTTGAAGAAATAATATTTATTACTAACTTTACTCAAATAGAGGTTTTAGCAGTGTCAATGCTAATACATAGAGAAGTGTAGCCTTTCTTCCTAAGAAAAATGAAATTTCAAACATAAAATGGTAGTGTTATATAACAGTACAGTAAATCACATTTCAACAAGTCAGATAATATAGCATCTAGATGGATTTTCTGAGAAGTAACGATTAAAGCACGTATCCACAATGTAACATAAGGACTTCTTATAACAATTACTCTGAATCAAGAAAACATTAAAAACTGAACAAGTTGCACTTTTACCACTGACCACTTAGTTTTTCTACAAAAAAAAGTTAACTGAGTTAAACTTTATGATTCCTTTCAATTCTTGAGATCTACGTCCCTATGACAGCCAAGTAATGGAAAAGAAAACTTATAGTTCACTGCTTTGCCCAAAAGTTTGCCTTTGGGAAAAACTAATGAAATATTAGAATACATATTAGAATAACAAAAGATAGTTAACCTTTCCAAAATAAACTCACCGACGAATATCTTAAGCATATCTAAATCTGCGAAAGTAATGCTACTTTGCTTAATAATGTTTCTTGCTCCTGAGCACGCAACAACACAACTATAATCGTAACCGGAAAACCCTGGTTCCCACATAGGATCTAACCAAGCATTCTGCCTGCTCAAGAAATGTGTTACTTGCTACTTGGCTTCAGCCAAAAAAAAAAAAAGAAGAAAAAAAGAAACTTGTTACTTATTATTCTAAATCACCATAAACATCATTCAGGTATTCGAACCACTTTGTGTTAATTACTAGAACCTCAATTTTTTGGTTCAAGAAAATCTCATTCATTCTACACCATTTTTATCCTAAAGATTTTATCCTATCAGATTAATGTCAAAATAATATTATTTTATCCTTAACATCAATACTTACTACAAGACATTAGATACAATGAAATCTAAAATATCACTAAAATATCCCATGTGAATACAAAAGTCAGTCTTTGGGAATCAATAAAACGTACATTTTTGAAAAACTGGTAACAACATGATATGCTAAAATCTAAACTCATGTAGTTAAAAGTAAACAGGTCACACTTCTGTCACACTTAAGAGTGACCCAACGGGGCAGCACTACTCTCTGCCCAAAAATCAACTCCCACAGGCAACGCCAGACTCAGCTTTTTTCACTAAAAGACACCAGAAGTTCTTGAAAGACATTTACTTAGATGAACTGGGGCAGAGGAAAACCAAGGAACATCTAGAACATTCTACGGTTACCAGGAAACAAGTTTTCAAGAATACAAGGGAGAGATAAAAAGAGAGTCAACTTGACTCTCCTACTGGAGACCTAGGAGGTCCTAAAGACCTTCTAACAGTTATTGCAGTTCGGCAGAATGATAATAACCAGAACAAATTGAATTTGTACAAGACTAGTTTATGCTCAAAAAAGAAAGGTTAATGTACAATATATAAAAAGTAACTGTAATACAAAAGACGGTGGTACATAGAGGGCATATTTAACTTTTTATTGACTTTTATAAATGGCAGTATTCTCATTTGGAAATTTTGTTCCTTTTGTAATATATATGTATATTTAGACATTTAGATACAGACAACTTATTTTTATCTTGGTAGTCAGAGATAAACTAAAACATGGAGTAAGTTCTGGGAAAGATAGATAAAAACGATACCATAAAACAAGTAGTACCAGTGATCCTATGTAAGAGACAGAAGAGGTACCCAGCAATTGACTAGTACCAGTGCAGACAGACAACAATTATGTAAAAAGACGATTGATTCTACAGCATAGTCTAAAATATAAACTGCTCAAAAGTCTAAAAGAACCAGACATAATCCTGAATCTACAGCATATGAACATCTGTCATTATATTTAACTACTAATTATACCAAGAAACAAATCCTTCTTAATAATGTCAACAAAGCAGATATAAGCAGGAAATGGTTCATATACACATCAGTTACAGAAAACTTGAGGACATCTGATTTCTGCACAATACACCCTAAGTATGTTTTTCATATTCCAGATCTGGGCTAAGATTACTAAACCCCAGGAAGGTCTTCTGAAATGTTTTAAGTATAGTCAATTCCTTTATGCCCCTCTTCTGCTCTACCAAAAAATACACACCACTTGATTTGTATGTTTACATATAAAATATTTAATGAAACGTCACATTGATATATTGAGATAATGTAAGCTTTTTAGTTCCTTTGCCTTCTCTCTCCCCACACAGAACTTGCAAGAATGTGTGGCCTCAAATGTACTTCTAGGAGCAAGTAACGCCTGAACCATTTGTCACACCATTCCAAAAAGGAAGTTAGAAGGGCAAGAAAGTTAAGGATATGAACCAAGACAACATCTTCCCAGCACTCCTATACAACTTTCTTTTACAGAGGTCAAATGAGGTACAAAGTGTAACAACTCTGATTAAAGTTCAAGAGATGCATGTAACGGCTCACTGCTCCTCAAAGTCACCTACGATCTAAAAATAATAACCATTCCCTAAGTAGCTCAATTCAGTCATATGGCAGATAATATCATTCACTGTAACAAAAGTACGGGTTTTTAAGAAACAGGTTTATCATAATACACCTTAACCAAACCACATGGTAGAATTATGGTGCAAAAAAAAAGAATGTAGGTGAAAGGGGAATGCCATGATTTCATGACCCTCTTAATTTAAACATATTTTATCACCAGAATTTTACAGCATGCCTCAGTAGGTTTCCTCCTACCATCTCCTCTTGGTTCCTAAAGAACTTAATAAACACACTTATCACTGTGCCAAAAATGTTAACCAGTGTCTCCAATCAGTGTCTGAAAAGTAGAAACAAGAATTTGCTTTACTGCTAGAGGGAACATTATATAATGAGGGATAAACACGTTTTTAAAGTAAATGGATGATTAAGATATTAAATGCTGCTACTTCTCAGTTACTGATTGACTGACTGATTGTAAAAGTCAACCTCTAGCTCAAATACTGCTCTATTGCTACGCCTGATCCCCTTCTGTAATCTAGTACTGGCACCATAAATCCAAACTTTTTATAAAGCAAAATCCTGCATAAGGGTTCCTCCCCGGCCTTTCCAATGATACCACCCAAGCTCTTAAGTACAAGGCATGCAATAGCTAAAATCCAGTTATTACCAGCTGGTAGAGGAAAAAAAAAATAGGTAAATCTCAGAGAGCTCAGAGATAGCCTATAACAAAAGGTTTGAAGGGTAAACTCATAAGTCACAAACCAAAAACCAGCCTGACCTATCATCTTGCTTTATCTTCTCAAAATTGGTCATGACCTTGGTATTAAGCAATATAAAAAGATGACAAAATGTTTTGCTGCCTCTTTTCCTTCCACACACTACACTAAATGTTTAAAGCATTTACATATGGTAGATGTTCATGTTTCCATTAAATTTTATTACACAGGGTTTTCTTTGGGGGGAAGACAGGGTGTTATTATTTTATCATTTTGTGTTGTTAAATTGCCTATAGCAGTAATACTGAACATATCCCACTTTATAGCTCACCTAAGCCCCTTTTTGGGAAGTATTACACTCACTGAGAAACATGCATATACTTTAAGCTGTATAGGTCAACCAGAAAGAAAAAAAAGGGGGGGGGGGAGACATCTCATTTGATTTCCTAAAAAAGCAAAAACAAAACTAATAGTATTTTAATTGGGATCAAACTAAACCCATAAATCAATTTAAGAAGAACTGACCAGTTTGACGATGGTCAGTATTCCAATTCATGAAACAGCATATGTTTCAAAATATTTATGTATTCTTTAATGTGTCTTAATGATGTTTAATCATTTTCTTCATGGACGTTCTTGTATATTTCTTAGATTTACTCCAGGTAACAGTTTTTGTCAAAAATCAGTTGGCTGTAGGTGTATCCATTTCTGGGCTATTCTGTTCCACTGGTCTACGTGTCTGTTTTTTACACTAATGTCATTGTTTTGCTTACTATATTCTAGCAGTATGTTCGGAAGTCAGGTAATGACGCCTCTAGCTTTTGTTCCTTTTCTCAGGCTTGCTTTGGCTATTTGGGCTCTCTTGTGGTTCCATATGAATTTACGGGATTGTCTTTTCTAATTCTCTGAAGGGTCACTGAAATTTTGATACGGACTGCAGTAAGTCTGGAGATGACTTTAGGTAGTATGGCCACTTTAACAATATTAATTCTTCTAATCCATGAACATATGATGTATTTCCACTTGTTTGTCTCTTCTATTTCTTTGCTCAATGTTTTAGAGTTTTCAGTGTAGAGATCTTTTATCTCTTTAAGTTTATTCTTAGGGTATCTTGATTTTTTGTAGCTATTGTAAATGAAATTTTCTTAATTTTTCAAATAACTCACAATTAGCACATACAAGTGCTGATTTTTGTACATGAACTTTGTGTCCTACAACTTTACTGAATTCATTTATGAGTTCTAGAAGTTTTCTGGTCAACTCTTCAGGGTTTTCTATATTTAAGATCATATCATCTGAAAACAGATTACTTTCTCCTTTCCAATTTCGACGTCTTTTATTTCTTTCTCCTGCCTAACTGCTCAAATACTTCCATTACTATGTTGAATAGGATTATTGGAAGTGTGCATCTTTGTTAGGTTCTTGATCTTAATGGAAAAGCTTTCATTTTTTTCCCCATTCGGCATACTACTAGCTGTGGGTTTCTCAACTATGGTCTCTATTGTGTTGAGGTACATACTT